GGTTTAGAAAATTGGGGAGCAAAGATGGGAGCTTGAACCATGAAGAAGGGTGACTCTTCAAGGGTACTCTTGGGGGTTTGTGGTTGGCTTAAAGACATGACGTTGGGAACGGGTTGGGGTGAGGGGGTCGGACTGAAGTTGGGGGTGTAATGGGGAGTGGTTAGGAGGGGTAAAGGCGTGGTTTTAGATGGTTTTTCAAGTGGGAGTGTAGGGGTAGGTGTGGGGAGGGTTAGGGCATTTTGTGGAGGGATGTTGGGTATGGTTTTGGAAGAGTTTGGAGGTAGGAGTATTGAGAGGGTTTTGGGTTTTGTTTGGACAATGGCCAGGGATGAAATATAAATGGGTTTTGAGGTATTTTGGGGCAGGGGTGTGGTAAGGGGTGTTGGGTTAGTTTGGGCAGTGGCTAAGGAAGGTAAAGAGGTTGTTTGAGTAGGAATTTTGGGTAGGTGTGAGGGAGTTGGGTGAGAGATGTTTTGGACAGCATGGATGCAAGGTAAATAGGGAGCTTTAGAGGGAGTTTGAGTGTTGAAGATGGTGGTGGCTTCGGGAATGATTTGGGTAGCGTGAGAATTCTGCAAAGATCGGGATTTAGAGGAGGTTAAGGTTGTGGGAGAGAGGGCAATATGGAGGGACTTTTGTTGTGGGGAAGGTGGTAGGACTTTTAGAAAGAGTATGGGGTGAAAAAGGGAGAGTATTTTCAAGTACCTGGTGGAGATGATCTTTGGAAGAAAATCTCTTAATTAAGAGTTTTCTTAACTTTTCCCAAGTTCTCACCTTCGTTTTTCCTTGGAGCTTTCGTTTTGAGCAACGCTAGCCCACCAAGTAGAGGCATGTCTTTGAAACTTTGCCACCACTAGCTTGACCCTCTTGTCTTTAGGTACATCTTTGAGTATAAAGACGTCTTCAACTTTTGCTAACCACTTTGAGAACTTCTCCGGGTCGTTTCTTCCCTCAAACGTGGGAATCTCTACTGAATTAGTGAGCTCCTTGATATGTTTCATCATAAGCTCAACTTCCTTATTTAGTTTCTCCTGGGCAGCAGCTAATTCACCTTGAAACATGTTTTGAGAAGAGCTTGGCATGGTGGATAAATGGCTTGAAGAGTGCATGGTTGATAGTAACAAAGGAGGCGTGTAAAGATGATCCCTTAGAGATGTTCAACACAAAGCTTTGATACCAGATGTTAGGGGTGAACCGGGGGTCTTATCAAGTTGTTATTTTTGGAGATGGAACTGTGGAATAATGAAGGGGAAATGGGCTGGATGAAAATATGGGAACGTGAAGGAGTTCTTTTTGGGTTTTGATATTATGAAGAGGAGTGGAAAATCAGGGATTAAGGATGGGTTTAGAAAGGATGGGATAAATTCCAAATAAGGAATAAGAGATAAACACACTCTTATCTTAATTTGGAGCCAAATTAATACTAAAGGATAAGCTCACCTCTAGATTAACTTGGGGTTAAACTCTAGTCTTTAATCAAGATATTACACACTCAATCAAATAACTAGAACCTAAAACTCACACTTAAGATAACCACTCTTAAGATATAGAATTAGGAATTTGGCTAAAATAGCATCACACTATTTTATGAATACTCAAAGAGTAAAAGATTTTCAATATTCAAAGATTGTGTTACAATGGCCATAAGGCCTGAGTTATATAGGCAGGGGAAGGGGGAGATGATGCACAATACATTGAATGTAGACATTAGGAAACTTCCTAGCAACATCCTTCTCCAAAGCATGGGGTAATCTTTCTTCATTCCTGTCTCCTTGGTGGACTAAAATCAGGGATGGGGCTGGGGTTTGTGGGGGTTTTGTGTTTTGGTTCCTTGTGGTTGTTTCCTAGTTTTTTTGTGGCTAATATTTAGGTAAAAATGAGGGTTGTTTTTGGCTAATAAAAGGGGGCAGGGATGGGGGATATAATGTGTGGTTTTGGACTTATAAGTTTGGGTTATTTGCTAGGGAACATGGGCAGGATATATGGCTGGTGGTGGGTCATGGTTTTTGGCTCTTTGTTGATGTTGTGTTGGGATTGTGAGGGATATTTGGCCAGGGATTTAGAGGAAGG